CCGGAGCGGTGTCCCTGCGGGCCGTTCTGCCGGAACCAGCCACCAAGTTGCAGGGGCCGACCCTGGCAGACCTTTCCGGAAAGCGGACTGGGCGCGGGGTTGGCTTGGTGACCGGAGGAGGGCGGAGTCGTGTCCGAATGCAGCCTGGTCTACGCAGTACAACCCTCTCCAAGCCAAGAACAAGCTGAGATAAACCCCCAGCGACGCTGCGTGGCTTTATGAGCGAGGGTTGGAGCGGTGAGTGCCGTGTTGGCGACCTGGCCTTTCCTGGACCCCAGGGCTGTCCAGCCAGCCCATCTGCCACATTTAAGTAAACTCGCCTGCCCGCCCAGGCTCAGTGACCAGGGCTCCCGGCCTCCTGGCCCGCCCTTGGCCTCTGGAGTCAGTTGTCAGTTGTCCAGAGGGCAGGGACAAAGGCCAAGAGACGCTGCTGGTGAGGGGCACCCACAGCGCAGCAGGGAGCCGGTGTGGACATGAGCCAGCCCACAGTGGCTGGACCCCAGGTGGGGGCGGGGGAGTTCCCCGACCCCGTGGGAGGCCACAGGGCAAAGCCACATGATTTGTCCCAAGCCCCGGAAGCCGATTGTGACATGCTCAGAACGACAGCGGTGGCGTCAGAGACGGCACAGCCACCTAAGCTTCTCCCTTCCTTGTCATCCTCTTGCCTACCCATGAGGCCACATCTGTACATACACCGCGGCTCCAAATCTAGACAGCCTGGAGGTCGTGAACAAGGTGCGTGGTAACGAGCGTGCCCTGTGTAAGAAACCTAGGTTGCACGTGACTTGACTTTAGACTTACGAGCTGACACTGAAAACGCACTTGCAACTTGGCAGGAGCCAGACAGAAATACCAGCCGCGCTCAGCCGTGGGGACGAGACCACTGAGCTGACACTGGCTGGCAGTGGCCCTGCCTATTACCCTATGGCTGTGCTATTTTTGTTAGTATAATTTTTAAAAAATTGACTCTAGAAGCATTCGCTAAATAGTGGTGCCAGTGCTGGGACGTGGGCCCTAAATCAGTCACCCTGGAGCACGGGTTAGAGGGCAAAGCAGTGAAGGGGACCGGGTGGCATGGTGGTCAAGGCACTCCTTCCTGCATGGCTTACTGCAGCTCCAGTCCAGGACCCTGCGACTTGGATCTCATGGCAGGCACGTGTGCATGCATGCCCCACACCACCTCCCCAAGGGGATGGCTACAGTCCCTTCTCACCCCTTCTCCTCCTGGGGTTTTGGGCATGTGGGCACATGTGCCTGGCATGAGTTTCAAGCCACCAGATCCAGGACTCAAAGCATGGTTGGCCGTGTGGGAGTCCAGTGCCCTAACCACTGTGCAGTTGTGGAGGCTTTAAATTACACTGAGTGCCTGGGCCAGGACCACCCAGGAGCACCCCCCCAGTCCAGGGCTGCCCAGGAGCACCCCAGTTCAGGAGCACCCCCCCAGTCCAGGGCCACCAAGGAGCAGCCCCCAGTCCAGGGCCGCCCAGGAGCACCCCAGTTCAGGCGCACCCCCCGTCCAGGCGCG